GTACTGTTAGTCCCAAGGAGTACTAGAACTGAGTACACAGTCCGTGCAAAGCAAACACTGAGGGCAGCACTCTTCCCTATTTGCCAATAGAGGGAGCAGAGAGCTCTTTCCCTTCTGAAGCTTCTGTCCCTCAGACTTATCAACTGTCATAAAATAACGATTATAATGACATATAAGTACATTTATTCTTCCAACTGAGAAACTGCTTTCCTAATAAACTGCTTTCAAAAAAAGTTCTCACTTACAGTTACAGAGACGCTTTTTTATTTGAGAGATGCGAGGATTTTTTTGTGGTATCTTTTATTGAACCAACTACATAATTGGAAGAGCTGTTGGACTTTATAGTTGGTCCAATTAAAAATATCACAAAAAATCCTTCTCTGGTACATTTACTGGACCATCACAGCTACAACACTCCAACCCTACTATTTTTTTTTTTATTTTGCCTCACTGGATGTATTTATTATTTTCCCACACTGTTTGTTGAGCAGATGGCCTTGTCAAGGAAAATGCCATACTTTTTGTTTGGTTTTTGATAATCCTATGTTCCATTCCCATGAAAGCTATGGTGAGAAAATCCCCTAAAAGCTAAACTAGAATAAAAATGGAATCTGTTTCTCCATGTAACTTAATGACACGATACTTTCTTCTCTTCCCTGTCTCCTCCCCCAAATTACAGTAACTGCTCTTAAATATTTTAGACATTATCATATCACAGTCAACACTTACTTATTTAAATGTAGACCTGCATTCAAAATTCACCTTTGCAATAACTCTATATATACTCTGATGGAGGTATATCAGGATGAATTTGATCTTCTATCTGAAATGTCTTATGCATCAGAACATAAATGATACCCTCAGTTTTCACTTTCAACACAAAGTCACTATGCATTAACCAACAAACAAAAAGGATAGACACAGCACAAATAAAGTTTAATAAATTTTGTAAATATAACTTTTACTATTAAAGGAGTTCAATGTGTTGAAGAGAGACAATCTGTATTCCACATGTTGTTCATGCATTGTAGCTCATTTTTTTCTTACCTTTATAGTCTGTTTCAACATTTTTTAGAAGCTCCATGCACCTTATTTCTTCTTCATGGATCTCCAGCTGAAATCTGCATTCTGGATGGATGCCATTCACCTGTTTCAAATGAACAAACAGGCCTGGGTCTAGAAGCATTTTAATTACAATATTAACTACCAGTCAAAGAATCTACAGCTTTTATTAAGATTAATTCCACAGCACCACGGAATATACTATGCACTTTACAGACACATTCGTTGTCTGCAGTGCATGCACGGGATTTGTCACAATAAAATTTTAACATAAAATTCCTCCATAAATAATTTTTCTTGGCTCCTTTCTAAACCACTCCAAAACCAGCACTGTCTTTTACAAGAAAATTCTTGGACTTCACAGTGCATTTGCCACTATTGCAAAGTGAATCGCTTGAACTTTGAAATAAAACCATTACGTTTTAGAAAAGCTGAACGCTTACTGTGCATCACTGAGCATGCAAAGCAATCAAACTACGCTGTCTTTATTGTGATCATGTTTGGCTTCCTTTCTTGTCTCTGTGTAACCACTATCTCCTGGAGGTCACAATAATTCATAACAGATAACTTGATTTAAGCAAGTAGTATGGGGTGGGAAACAAATTCTTAAATGAAAGCTATACTGTTTGTTTGCAGTATTGGGCAAAACACATCACACACTTTCAAAGCATTCAAGGGGAGGTAGTTTGAACCCCAGGAGGACAAGCTGGCAGGTAGACAGAGGTTAGAGGATGGGAAACATGAGATCAGGAGGGCTAGATTTACAGTAGGCAGCACAGGAGAACCAAAGCCTTGTGGATGAACTCAGAGAGTTCCCACTCTGCGTAGAAGGCTGTGTGGAAAAGTAAATTGCACAAGAAGTCGATAAAAAGGGAGATGAGAGTGGAAATATGGGTGATGTTTACAGGACAAAACCACAAAATGTTTAGAAATAGGATGTTTTTAACTTGTAGGAGTAGAGCGGTAAGAATGAGTGAAACCAAATTACAGCACAGTAAAACCTTGCTGGACTGTAGTTTGTATCATTTGTATTCACACGAAAAGAGATGATCCCTCTCGCATGCAGGAAACGTGTAATAGCAGAGTGCTGTAGTACTTTGTACTGAGAGCTACTACTGTAAATAGTGGAGAGGCACAATGGCTTTGGGTATAAGGCACTGGTCTGGCCCAAGAGATTTAGGTTGAATTCTTGCTTGTGCTATATTCTTTCTGTTTGATTGTTAGCAAATCTCTTAAAGCTATATTTTCTAGAAGCAGCACACTGGCTGCATTTTTCAAAATCTACCTGGAAGTGCTGAGTATCCGAAAAAATATCACTTCCTTTCCCCCGACCTTTCTGTATCCTATTTAAATTATAAGCTCTTCTGTGCAAGGACTGATGCTTACTATCCATTTTGTATGATAAAAATTGCCCACCAGGGTCATTGCCTCTCAAGGGTGCCAGGCACTGTTAGCACTGTTAGGTGCACAAACACAATTCATGAGCTAAACCCAGAGATTTCAAATGGGAATCTATAGTGATACAATCCTCCTAACCTGTGTTTTTCAGATGAAATCATCCCAACCCGTGTCTTTCAAAGTTCTTGGCAACAGAAGAACTGCCTCAGTATTTTTCTGTAGTCAAAAACAAGAGTGAAAACTAAGAGTTAATACTTTCTGAGGGGTGCTTTGAGTCTATCTAGGGGTGTCCTGAGTCAAAAAAGGTTAAGACTCACTGGGCTAAGGTTTCCAGATGCTGTCATAATACAGATAAAACAAGAACAATTAAACGAAAACTTCAAAGTGATGATTTATAATTGAATAGTACCAAGACCAGAAAGCTAGAACTGAGGTAGTACAGGATGGGCAAACTTACACAAAGAGATGGTACCTGCGCCTCAAAACGAAAGACAGCCGAAAGCAAGGGAGATCTTGCAGCACCCACCCCTTCAGACAGCTGCTTTCACACTAGGGCTTGTTTCCAACTTGCAAAATTCCTGTGCGTGAGCCCCGGTCTCCCCGAGGACAGGGCTGCATGGG